CTCTGGTGTCATGGCGACCAGGCCAGCACTCCATCTCTAATGAGTTCATGGCAGTTATCTTTTACTTTGTTAAAAATGGCTGCATTCCATTTTGGTGGCCATGTCCATGACTGTACGATCATCTAATCTGACTCAGTTTAGTTCATTAGGATCTATAACAGAACGCTTCCTGTCCATCTTCCTACCAGGTGAAGTACAAGCAGAGCGCAGTGAAGGCCACAAGCATCGGAGTGACTCCAGAACTGGAGAGAGTCAGACAGAACCAGGAGAACATCAGCTCGGCAAGACACACACACACACACACACACACACAGACACACTAACACACACAGACACACAGACACACTGAGGGTATTATCATATAAAATATGATGTGTGTGTGTGTGTGTGAACAGGTGAAGTACCAGCGTGGGCTGCAGGAGATGAGGGGGCGGAGCTGCACCGAGCTGGACACACCTGAGTACCGGCGTGTCAGGAAGACACAGGACTCGGTCTCCATGGTAGCAGACTGGTTGCCGCCTAGGCTGTGGGTGGAGCTAACACGAGTGACGTGGCACCTCGGGTGGGATTGACGCACCGCTACTAACGCCGATCACCAGACAGCGTGGAGGACAGAGCAGTGTGTGCATGTGTGTGTGTGTGTGTGTGTGCTGGACACTGGAGGTCCTCAGGTAGATCTGAACCCAGAGAATCCAGTCTGACATGATCTATGTGAGAGTACGTAGGGTGAAAGCTGTGTGTGTGTGTTGATAATAAAAGATTTAAATACATTTCCTGTGTGTTTTATTTGCTCACTGACCAAATGCACCCTGTGTGTGTGTGTGTGTGTGTGTATTAACTCTGTTTTATTTCTACGATATCGATGTTGGAGTGTAAACGTGTGTTTACTCCCTCCAACAGGCCAAGTACCACGAGGACTTTGAGAGGGCGCGCGGTCGAGGCTGCACGCCCGGATTGGATGATCCCAGCATGGAGCGCTACCAGAGAGCCAATCAGATGATGGGAGAGGCAGGATACAGCAAAGGGATTCACCCGCAGGCGGTGGAGATGGACAGACGACCAGGAGGCATCATCGTAGGTCAGTGACCCCAAACTGTGTGTGTGAGAGAGGATGTTCAGGGTGATCTTCATCAAAGTCAACACTTTCCACAGACAGGATGTTTCACAATAAAAGCCTTTTAGGAAATCATTTTAAAGTTACAAATATGGTTATTGGCTTTATAGAAACATATCTTTCATCTTTGTGGACCATTGTTAATGAACAGGAAGTGAAAACTGTGGAGAGCTGTACGCAACTTGATGAGGAATTCAGCTTGGAAGTGTCGTTCCAAGTGAGGTCATACATTGGACAGACATCACCGTCAATCAAACCTTTCTCTCTCTGCTGCTCTCTGGGTTTATCAGGTGCTTTTGTTATAATGTTTAAATTTACTGTTTTCAGGTAAAGTCGACGGATCCAGAATCCAGCTTTGACTTTTCGGGTTTTCGCTATTTTTATTTCATAATTATCTTCTTTTATTAGAGCTCAAATGATTTTATACGACTTGCAGTATTGTGATCGATATTTGCTCTGGTGGGGCAGAATCTGAACTCTTTCTGACTAATATGAGGAGAGGCACTTGTTCTATTCACAGACACATGAACACATGTTGGATTGTTAACACAGTCCATGTAAGCATAGTCCGTGTTCTTCAAATGACCTCTGCCTCCTTTTTGAAGACCTGAAGGTGTGGAGGACAGACCCCGGCTCCATCTTTGACTTTGACCCTCTGGAGGACAACATCCAGTCCAAGAGCCTGCGCAGGATGTCCGGTAGTTCACTTGACTAAAATAACAAGAGGCTGCTGGAGGAATAACAATGTTTGGAGGCTGTAATTTATCACGACGAAGGCGTCAGATGTTGTGTTTGCATGGAACACTCCTTTTAATTAACTCCAGTGTGTAAAGTCCATATAAATCCTTTGTTTCTATTTCCACCTGTTCTTATTTTCTTTCTAGAATTTACACACCAATTTATTACGTTTACAAAATGTTTAAAAGCACATGCTCTTGTAAAAATCAAGTTGAATTTGCTGTTTTTCATGGTTTTCTTCTTTGAATCAGCCAGATCAGTCAGATATTTTTCTCATAGTCAACTAATCTCATGTTCAGACTCACAGAGCTCCATTATTGTCCAAAAACTATTAAAAACACATCAGTGAGCTGCACTGTTGAACGTTCTTCAATACTAACACACACAATGTAGTTTATTTTGACTCAATCCCACATACACCGTCCTGCTGCCCAAATACTCACAAGAGCACCAAATGTGGATTAATCCGCCACTGAAAATAGTCCCTAACAGATGCACTGTTTCCTCCTTTATGTTTGATAAAAACTACAGTTAGCCGCTCTTTTAAAAATGACTATAAACTATATATTTGTGTTGTTTTTCACGAATGTTTTGAGTGTCATTTCATAGGATTTGTTGACAGTATTAACTGTAGAATATTGGCAGCCTTATCCACCAGTGTGTATGATTTAGTGGCAGATTGGAACTAACTGAACACTGCTCGCGTCTGTATTTGACGACCTTGAAGAAACTACAGCCAGTGTTTGGTTTGTCTGTTCTGGGCTACTGTAGAAATATGGCATCTGTAGATAAAAATGTGTCATTCTAAGGTAACAAAAACAATTCTTATATTCAGATACTACGCTAAAGAAAACATACCTATAAATACTATATTCAGTTTCTGCCAATAGATCCTCATCAATGTTACACACTGGGCCATTATATCACAGTGATGTTCATATGTATCTGTGCTGGATAAAAACTCCTCACTCTCTTCGTTGGCTCACTTTTATGTCTCTCTCTTCCCTCTCTTTGTTTTCTGTCTGTGCACTGTGAATATTCCTGCCCCTGTGCTGCCACCTGGTGGCGACTGCCTGCTAGAGCGGGCCGACCGCAGACTGAGCAGGCAGCACTCGCAGCAGTCTCTCACCCACAGCCAGGCTCAGTCTGTCAGCTCGCTGACCTCTGACCTCTGGGACCGCAGCAGCAGCGAAACTCCCGGTATCTTTACTCGTGCCGTCTTTCTCACCTTGACGCACAGTAGCAGGATGACGGAGACACACACTCGCATGTGTTTGTGTCTTCCACGTTGTTTGAAGTGCTGGCTCTAATCCACAAGTGAAACTGACTAATTCACCGACTTCTTTCAGGACGTCTTTAAAGCTTTCCACTCAGTAATCATTTTTCGTCTTGTTCCCACAGTGTGATGTTTGAGTTTGACACTAGGAGGATGTTTTCACACAAAAGTGGAAGGTTTCTTTGAGCTCACTGAACATCTGATTTACGAGCATGATTTGTGATTGACCTCCATTGACATCTTGTGTCCAGCAGGAAAACTTTAGAAATTGATAAAATTAGCATATTAATAAATTCAGGAGTTTTTAATAAAGTAGAAGGAGTAGATGTCAACATGTCAAACACACTTTTTTGTTCCAAGCTAACTATTTATATGTCTTACTACATGTCTCTAGGGGATCTTTATCTGTTTGAACCCCATAATTCTCCCCAAAACTCACAGCGTGCTCACAGCAGGGGAGACTCTTCAGGTGTCAAACTGTTGTATCAAAGAGATGCAGGAAAGACTTTTCAACCAACTTATTCTCTCTTTCTTTCTCTGTCTGTGTGTTTGTGTGTCTCTCGCCCAGCTCCAGTCCTTCCTGGAGCATATCATCAGGGCATCCAGATGCAGCAGCAGCAGCAGTATCACGGCTACATGCACCAGACCAGCATGTCGTCTGTCAGATCCGTCACCTCCCCGCCGCACTCAGCCACCATGGTAAACGCTCCAAAGCGAGTTTCATCCTTCATTTTATGATCCCATCATCAGTTTCACACTGGGTAGTTGTTTATTGGTGCATTTAGGTTACTGGTTCCCAACCTGAGGGTCCTGACCCCCACTAGTTGTTAACAAAGTTTCACATAAAGTCCTGAGGCCTTAAACTTAATAAATATATATATATATATCGTAATCAAATGATATCAGTATAAAACATATGGGTATACCTAGACTATTATAGTATACTCATATATATCTATATACATATATATAGCGTCCTGAATGTTACACACTGGACCTTTAACATATAAAGCTTCAAAATAATCTCAACAGTATGAGGGCACAATGAAGAACTGGTTTAAGTTTAGGCACTGGCCCCTAATCTGCCTTGGTGGATTAGAGGTCTCTGTGGAGCCTCACAGTCCACAAGTCTAACCTCTCGCTGTCGTGTTGTTTGCAGCGTGTTTACCGGGCGCTGTATGACTACGCGGCTCAAGACCACGACGAGGTCTCGTTCAGGGACGGCGACGTCATCATCAACGCTCAGCCCATCGACGAGGGCTGGATGTACGGCACCGTGCAGAGAACCGGCAAGTCGGGCATGCTGCCAGCAAATTACGTGGAGTGCTGCAACTAGAGGAGGGAGGCAGAGGGAGAGAGAGAGAGAGAGAGAGAGGAGGTGGGCGAAGAATGAAATCCACCCTCACTGTTATAAGATCAGCAGTCTGTGATGATCTTCTTCCTGTGGACATCACATCCAGATGTTTCCAGCTGTTCTAGTAGATTATGAAAACAGAAATTGATTCACAGGTAAAAAAAACATCAAGTTGTTTTTGTTTCTCACACACAGATATAATTTATATTTCAGCTTCATGCTTCTTCTCTGGGTGTTATTGAAAGGCATTTTGGGAAATGTAGGCAATCATAACTACGGAAGAAGTTTAAGAAGACGTTGATTTACCCAAAAAAAAGCACATTTGCAATTCTTCATTATTGATAACTGCTGGAATACGCAGAACACCACCGACTGCTGATACCAGCTGACAGAATATCTGAGGAAGGAGATTTTTCTTACATTGAGAGAGAGAGAGAGAAGGTATAAATCTAGCATGCTGTCGATAAGTTATGTAACTAGAGGAGGGAAATACGAGAGGAAGGATGCATGAAGACAAGTTGTGAGAGATTAGAAACATCTGTAACTTGCTTAACGACCTGCAGCAAACTATATTAGACTATCGGCTCGGATTCAAGCAGAATGTGAACGAAATTAGTCAGAAAACAAAAATCATTTCAGTCTGATTATCGGGCTAGGACGTTTAAAGAGTTCTATATGTTTCTTGTTGTCAGTGAATTACGCTGTTGTTTTTCACTGCTGTTCCAAACACTCACCAGAGCACCACATGTGGATTAATCCGCCACTGAATATAGTCCCCAACAAATGCACAGTTTCTTCCTGCTTTTAAAGATTCTAACGTCTTCAGGAGGAACCGATAGGCCGAGAGATACAGACAGGGAAGTCAAGAAGTATTGAATTTGACAATGAGAAACATATTGAAGGGAGAGGAGCAGAGGAAGGAAAGAAGGTAGGAAACACATTTTAAGAAATGAGAATAGGACGGGAAAGAGGGAGATAACGACTGAATATTCTGTCTGTTCCTGCGAACGATGCAACCAAAGGAAGGAGGGAGGAAAGAAGTACAAGTTTATGAATTTAAATAAGTCCATGATAACAAATTAATAGGAACACGGTTTTAGAGATCTCTCAAGTTTAATCATTTATTTATCTTGAGTTTTAATTCATGTTCAGGTGAGTGTAGTTTAGTTTTTGACTTGTGATATAATCTACAGAAAGACAGAAAGGTCACACAGCAACACTAACCTCTGTGTTTGTAAAGGACTGAACTAACACACTGTGTCTTTTCTTTTTCTTGTATCAAATGATTTTGTTTATTTTTAACTATGAATAAAAAGTTTTCACGTCACGTGCTGTCCAGATGATTTAACCTCCACACACAGTAACGGTTTAACGTGGACTGAAATCTGAACAGACTGTGAGTACGTCAGGCCTTGAGATTTCTGTATGTCGCAGACTATTTTGATACACGGGCTCCTGTCTATGTTTTGGAAAGATATATTTTACTCTTTTACTCGTGTGTATCCAGTACGTCGTGTTTTTGGGGTTTTGTTGTCTTGCTGTGTGGATTGCATCCTGGTCATGTGTTGAATAAAAACTTCACTCAGCCATCCATGAGTTGTCATTCTAGCTGGAGAGCTTTTTGTATGTTTGATTTCATAAATACTACATGCAATAGAATATAATTTACAGAGTATTCATGTGTTAACTGTGTTGATTTTTGGAATAGGCACTTTGTGTCATTTCTTTTTTATTCTCTTGCATTGAGGATTTTTGGCTTCTAATGTCACCATTGTAAAGTTTTGATTTAGTCATTACAGATTATAGTTTATTTGCATATTATTTGAAATTATATATCACTCAATCTCAGTTATGTTTCTTTTTTTGCCATATGATAATTGCAATGTGGTAGAAATAAAAACAAATAACTTGTCAACAGAAATGTGGTTCTTCTTATTCAGAATCGAAGAAAATCCGCTTTTATACACACATTCGTATAGATTACATATTAAAACTTACAATTTCACTAATATATGTGGTGTAATGGCATTTACTTGAGAAATTAAATCAATTAATTCTAGACATGAAGAGTCACAATAAAAATAAATAAATAAAAATCATATTTATACCTAATATAAAATATGGCCGGTTTTATTGTTTTTACAAACATATACAGATGTGGATAAACCTTTAAAAGCACTGGAAACCATGTTGATAGCTGGTATTATGGTCTGTTGTAGGTGGGTCCAGTCCTTTATTTTGAAATTTGGTGCAGGAACTCCCCTTTTATTTATATCTGAAAAAGATATTTATCCGATTAAGAGTTAATTATTAATCTAAATGGTACTTTTAAGGGGAAGTTTATCATCCGAGCAGCTCATGAAATAAATATATATTTTTATTTGACTTTTTCCTGGCAGCCTAGACTTTCGGTGTAGCGTCGAAATCGGTTACCGTGTCGATCTGAGTTCCTCATTAATTTATTTAATCGTATCCCCTTAGCCCAGCAAGATCTCTTTAATATGGAAGCCCATTCCCGCCAGGAAAAAAAAGTACTGATAAAACTTTTAAGATGCTCAACCTCAACATAAGGTGCTATCCTATGTGGATAAACCTTTAAAAACACTGGAAACCATGTTGATAGCTGTATTATGGTCTGTTGTAGGTGGGTCCAGTCCTTTATTTTGAAATTTGGTGCCGGAACTCTCCTTTTATTTACTATATCTGAAAAACATACCTGATATTTATCCGTTTTAGAATAAATTATGAATTTAAATGTTACTTTTAAGGGGAAGTTTACCATCTGAGCAGCTGTCATGAAATAAATATATTTCTTTTATTCGACTTTTTCCTGGCAGCCTGGACTTCCGGTGTAGCGTCGAAATCGGTTACCGTGTCGATCTGAGTTCCCCATTAATTTATTCAATAATATTATCCCTTAACCCAGAAAGATCTCTTATAAAATGCTCAACCTCAACCTAATCCCCCCCTCAACCCCTGCTCGTTATCTCCACCACCCCGAACCGAACCCGAACCGCGGAGGACGGTTGGAGCGGGCGGTGACATCATCTGACGGGGTTAACCAAAGTCACCACAACACCACATACTGGTCACGTCTGCGCATGCGTTAAAGCAACTGTGCCCGGCTGTCTGTCAGACTCTGGATGAAGACGAACTCGCTGATTTCAGCCTCAAAATGATGAAATTTCTGCCTAAACTGCTGCTGCTGGTGCTGCTAGCCTTCCCGGCCACTCTCCTCATCAAAGGTACGTGTTTGTGTGTGATAACGGGGTCTTTTAAAGCACATACTGAGCTTTAATATGCGAGTGTGGGGGGAGAAAAAAAAGAGGAAGGCCTTTCTCCATTTAACATGTGCTAACTCAAAGTAAGTGGCTGTAGAAATCCTCCTCGCTCTCTCAGGGTGTGTAGTAGTATCGGTGTGTGGTGTTGTAGTGTTTCGGTGTTTTATTCCTCCCTGTAGGTGAGCCACAGTTTGTTAAATGTCTGTATTTTATCCGCCTGTTAGACTGACGTGTCCTTATGTTAGCCGGGGAGCTAGGTGGCTCTGCTAACGTGCTGACTGTCTGCAGCTTCTCTCGGAAACAAACAGAAGTTAAATTAATTATAATGGAGGTTAAAGTCCTCGTGTTACTACATTTAATAATGAGGGTGGTGCATAAACGCGTGTAAAAGTCGCGTTAACTGGCTAGTGGCACATTACGGCGCAGGTACGGTGGTCCCAGTGGCTCATTTTACACAGCGTGCGTTTTTTTTAATCTGCATTTAGACTCTTAATGACAGGGGGGTAAAGTAATTGATTGTTAATCTGCAGTTGTTGGAGTTATTTGCCTCTGAACGGGGCAGTAAGCTCTGATATTAGCTGTGATTGTGTCCTTGGGCTCGTTAATCTGACACTAATCTTCTGCTTTCACATTAAAAACAGTGAGATTTATTAGTAAGCAGGTGGATTCAAAGCAACGAGCAGAAGAGTGCAGATATATGTTTGCATTAACACTCACATTGGAGCAGGAGAAGAGCACTGCTGCAGATGTTTCCGGTCTTCAACAGCAGTCCTGCAGTAATTCATTCCCACATGAAGTTTATAATGTTCACTTTCAACTGTAAAGTCAGTGTGGAGGCTTGAGGGCTGTTTCTATTATTTAGTCCACCCTCAAAGGGATGAAGTATAGTGTGGGCAGCATTCAGTAATAACTAATGACTGCTCCGCTGGTAAAAACCTTCTTGAAAAGGTCGGCGTTGTGGTATTTACACATATCCAAACATCTTTCTTAATGTTTAAAAGTTAGTGTGTTTCTCCTTCCAGCCTCAAACTGTCGGTTTGTCAAACTGCGACAGATAATGCTGCTAAAACCCGAATAATATCCACACTGATGAGGACTATCGGAGCTGGATGTGCTGTTTACACGTCCCTTATCAAAGGTGGAATATAAACGTAGTCGCTGTGAACTGTCATTGTAAGGAAGGTTGAGTTTTAACGATGCTCCTCGTTTCCCGCCCATCAGGGCCGGAGGTGAGCGCTCAGGATCTGACTGAGGACGAGGAGGCCGAGGCTGTGGACGAAGACGTGGTGGACGACGTGACGGCAGAGGACGAGGACGACGAGGCGGAAGTAGAAGACGACGAGAACGCGGAACTGGTGAGTGGTTACATCGAGGGTTAAAAATGATCAATGCAGCAGTGATACTATCTCTATCAACACATTATTGATCCATCGATACTCTGAGAGCGATCTAACCTGATCAAGTGATGTGAATCCTGTTCTTGTTGTGTTCAAAGGAATAAAAGACATTATTCTTTGTCTGTAAAGCTGAATGTTCAAGCAGCAACAGATAAAAGGATCATTCATTCTGTTATTTGAGTCGGTAGCTTTGTTTAAAGTTGTATTATAAAGGGGAATTAAACCTGTGTGTGTCTAGACGGAAGAGAAAGAAGACGAAGAGGAAGAAGCGTTGGTCGGAGAGGTGAAGGCTTCCCCCAACGCCGACACCACCATCCTGTTTGTGAAAGGAGAAGGTAACTTCCTGTGAAGGTTCTGCCCTCGTCCACAGATCCGACCCGCCGTAGTGGAAACTGTTTGATCCACCATCTTGTTTCTCTCCAGACTTTCCCGCCAACAACATCGTCAAGTTCCTGCTCGGCTTCTCCAACAAAGGCTCCGAGAACTTCGTCGTGGAGTCTCTGGACGCCTCTTTCCGTTACCCACAGGTACAAACACACACTGCTGCTGCCTCTCTCTCTCT